ATGTAATAAGGCCTTCAGCCAGCTTGTACACCTCGCTCAGCATCAGAGGGTCCACACTGGAGAGAAGCCCTATGAATGTGTGGAGTGCGGGAAGGCCTTCAGTGACTGCTCATCCCTAGCTCATCACCGTAGGACTCACAGTGGGAGGAGACCGTACCAGTGTATTGACTGTGAGAAGGCTTTCAGGCAGAATGCTTCTCTTACACGCCATCGGCGCTACTACCATACTGGAGAGAAACCCTTTGATTGTATTGATTGTGGGAAGGCTTTTACCGATCACATAGGGTTGACTCAACATAAGAGAATGCATACTGGAGAGAGACCTTACAAATGTAATGTGTGTGGGAAGGCTTTTAGCCATGGCTCCTCCCTGACTGTACATCAGAGAATTCATACAGGAGAGAAACCTTACGAATGCAGTAACTGTGAGAAAGCCTTCAGTCACCGTGGCTCACTTACCCTTCATCAAAGAGTTCACACTGGAGAGAAGCCCTACGAATGTCAGGAATGTGGGAAAGCCTTTCGGCAGAGCACACACCTCGCTCACCATCAGAGGGTTCACACTGGAGAGAAACCTTATGGATGTAAGGAATGCAGCAAAACCTTCAGCCAGAATGCACACCTTGTGCAACACCAGAAAATGCACACTGGAGAGAAACCTTATGAGTGCCAGGAGTGTGGAAAGGCCTTCAGTCAGATTGCACATCTTGTTCAACACCAGAGAGTTCATACCGGCGAGAAGCCTTATGAGTGTGTGGAATGTGGGAAGGCCTTTAGCGACAGCTCCTATCTCATTCAACATCAGAGACTCCACACTGGCAAAAGGCCATATGAATGTCTGGAGTGCGGGAAGGCATTCAGTCAGAAGGCGTCCCTGATTTGCCATCAAAGATGTCATACTGGTGAGAAACCTTATGAATGTGATGTTTGTGGAAAAGCCTTTAGCCACCGTAAATCCCTTACTCTTCATCAGAGAATTCACACAGGAGAGAAACCTTATGAGTGTAAGGACTGTAGCAAAGCCTTTAGCCAGATTTCACATCTTACACTGCACAGGCGAATTCATACTGGAGAAAAGCCCTTTGAGTGTAAGGAGTGTGGAAGAGCCTTCAGGCAGAGTGTACATCTGGCTCAGCATCAGCGAACTCACTCTGGAGAGTCAGCCTCAGTTTTCCCCTCCTCACTCCCACCAGGACCTTTGAAAACAGTATAAATTAACATATTTTCTATTTAAAACACTTGCTTTGCTGGGTGCAGTAGTTATGTGGGAGGTGGAGATTAGGAGGATTGCCGTTGGAGGCCAGTCCAAGCAAACAGCAAGACCCCATCCCAACCAATAAAGAGCTGGGTGTGGTGGCCTGTCATCCCAGCTGTGCAGGCAGCATAAATGGGATTGCAGGTCAGCTTGGGCAAAAATGTGAGACCCTACTAAAAATAAGTAAAACAGAAAGGGCTGGGGTGTGGCTCAAGAGATAGAGTGGCTAACAAACATGAGGCCCTGAGATCAAACTCCAGTATCACAAAAAAACAAAAATGGAAAAAACTTGCTTTGAAAAATACCCATTTTAAGGGCTTGGCTTACAATCCTGGACATACACTAAATGCTGGCCATGAAAGGCTTTTTTTTTTTTTTCTTAAGCAATCTTAGCCTTTCTTACAGTCACGTTCAGCTGCATGAAAACAATCAGCAGGTCAAGACTAAGAAAGCTACTGTTGTAGAGCAGAGGAAAGCTCTTTACTTTCCCAGAATGTAGAAAAGGTGCAGAACTGACAGCCATCTGGTGCTTGAGGTAACGTGGTGGCTGACCATCCCTTCTGTAAGAGTGTAAGTACAGGTAGCATTGTTGATGAGAACTCTCACCTCCCGACACTTGGAGATTAAGCCAATTAGAACAAAAGGTCTTGGTAGAATACAGCCCTACCCAGGGGATGGATGGTATTAAAATTAGGGTTGGAGGCATGGCTTGGTTGCGCTCGACTAGCAAACACAAAGCCTTTGAAACTCAATATTGAAAAATTTAACAAGCTAGAGAGCTTAAGTACACAAATAGCTGTGAAATAAACTGAAAATAATGCTTTTGATGCTTTAACCATTAAAGAAGCACTACAGACAATCCTTGTGGTATTTGGATTGTTCTAGAATATTTTTTAATGCAATGAAACTTCCCATATTAGTCCATGAGATTGGCAAGACATAAAAAAACATGAAGTCATACTGCAATTAGCTTTGTGTGTAAATACTAAATTTTTTAAATATTAAAAAGGGCTGTGCATGGTGGCACACTGTAATCCAGTAAGAGGCATGAGGATCTTTAATTCGAGACCAACCTGAGTTATATAGTAAGACCCTGTATCTAAAAGTAAATAAATAGAGTAATAAAAATTAGGAAGGTTATGTGTGTTTCTGTATAGAAATACTCATATGTAAAGATATGTCTAAGTTAAATATGTGCATTTATTGATACTGCAATAAAAAACTCAATTTGTAGGCTGATAATCTAATTCTGACCACGTGTAGATTTGTGACTAGTGAGGAGTGTAGATTATGTTGGGAATGCAGAGCTCATTTACATGGTATTGAGTATTTTCTCATGCCAGGCACTGCAGGATACAAATGGCCAAAATTTTTGTCATCATTCAATGGGAAAAAACAAAAAATACTGTGTGATAGATATATACTATGTACCACAAAGAGAAATGATCTAAAGGGGGAGTGAGGAAGTGCTGGTGTGGGTGCCTTGTCCCCAAAACATGGGGGCACTGGAGTTAGAGGGTGAGGTGACTCATGCACAAAGGGCACCATAAGAAGAGTCATGATAGTCCCAAGGCAATTATTTGTGATACTTTTGAGTGTTGAAGGGAGAGGTGATGACTTCACCAGGATCATGAGAGTTCTGTCACTCATAAATGGTGATTTAGAGACTGTTAGGGTAATTTTTGGTAGTGGCTTTGTTGAGGTATGATTTACATACTATACAATTTTGGATGAGACCCTGGTATCCCCTAGTGCAAGGTTCCACTTTAAGTGGAACCTTGTATAGTCAGTATGTATATTCAGTATATTTGTATATTTGTGTATTTAACTGGAACCTAATGTATTCAGGCTTGTACATACTCTCTCACCACAGCCAATTTTAGAATATTTTTCACCCCCAAAAGAAGTCTCATGTTGTCTAGTAGTTACCCCACTCCTGAAGGAGTTATTTTTCTGTACCATCCAGAGCTCTCAAGTCCCCTCTTAGCTATGGCCTCTGACAGTATAGGGGTCCCTGTAAAGAGAGCTCTTAACTATATAGAGCACAAGACTGATAGAAAGTGGGGTTTTAAATTCCCTCTTCTGATTTAAAAGGGTAGATCTCATGATGTGTTCTTAACACACACACACACAGCATGATAGCTCCAAACTAGAAACAATCCAGGTATCATACCCAACTTGTGATCCAGTCACTGCTTTCTGCAATAAAGTTATAAACTAAACGACTTGGATCTATCTCCAGAGAATTATGCTGAAAGAAAAAAAAATGAATCCTGTAGTTCACATACTGTATGATTCTATTTGTATATAATATAGATTATAGAACTTCAGCACCAACAACCTTGTTTTAGTTTGGTCTGTGGGGGCGGCTCAGCCACATCAGTGGCCTCATGTAAATTTCACTGAACATGTGCCATGCTCATTTGCTACTTGCACCTCTCCATGCTTTACCAATGTTCCACAAATAAGCACACTATAGGGTTGTAACTTGCAGGGTCACCCCTCAGTCCAGCTGAAACCGGAGTTTTGGACCTAAGACCCAAACTTCTGAGATTTCATATGCCAGGTCCGGCTACCTGTTCCTAAATGACAAAGAGGCATGTTGAAGGCAGAGAAAGATTTATTACACGGCCCTGGTCATGCCATGGGAAAAGGCAGAGTAAGCACTTAGCTCATTTTCAGCCATCTTCAGGGTACAGTCACGAGTTACAGGTTTAAGTAGACCAAGAACTAGAAGCAGGGGACAAAGGTATGCACAATTACAGTCCCAGTCACAGGAGTGTTCTGATTGACCATTATCTCAGTCCAAGGGTTCCCAGAGGGGTTCCAGAGAAGATGTCATCGCTGTCATCACTTGAGGGGAGCAATCTGGTTCCCATGAGATGATTGCTCCTGCTCCAGGGTGCAGCCTCATCATTACAGGTCATTGTCCTCATGTGCGGGTGGTCTGTCCTGCAAGTCTCCACTGTTCCTTATGGGAAGTTTCAGTCCCTTGTCATAAAGATGTTATCAGTTCTATTCTTTCTGGAATCCAAGGTGATCACAAAGTGAGTGAAAATAGAATGGCTTAGAGCAAAGACAGATATAAAATGGAGGCAGGGGTGCTAGGCTTCTCCTGTTTTTAGTTAATTCATGTGTCCAAGTTAGGAGTCAGAATTTTTCAGCAAAAGCGATTTGAGTGTCTCTTATACAGCCAGTGACACCTGCAGAATGTCATTTATCAGTCCCACCCCTCCTCCCAACCGTTCCTCTTTCTCTCCTTCTGCCCTTTCCCTTCTTTGCTCCCCCAACTCTGCCTTTTCTCCTCCTCTTCCCGTGCTTTTCCTCGTCCTTATGCTTCTTTCTTCCTCATCCTCACTCTTTCCACCCTTTCTCCTTCCCCACCTTTCCTTCCTCTTTCCTCCCTCTACTCCCTTTCCTTGCTGTAGTTCTGCCAGCTCTCTTCAGCCCTTCCAGCTCCCATCCCTGCTTGTCCCATTCATCTCCCCCTCCCGCCCTGCCCCCGGTCCTCTCTGCTTCTCCACGTCCATCCTCCAGGCCCCGCCTCCTAGGCCCCGGGGCCCGCGGAGGCCTGTGGGAAATGGAAGCTCGCAATCCTCCCCAATTCGGTTCTGCTCGGATTCTTCCGGCTGCGAGGCGCTCGGTGGGAAGGGCTCGCAAGGGTGTTGATTGCGCGTGGGATTCTGGGAAGTGTAGTCTGGCTCCATCTGCGCAGGCGCACTGCGCCTGGGCGGGCCTTGCGGGCGCGGTTATTGTCCCACCAGTGGCGCGCGGGTGAGTCCTGCTGCTGGAGAGGCGGGTCCAGCCCACCCTCTGCCTCTACCTGGACTGACCCTGGTCCGGGTAGGGGCAGACTGTAGGAGAGGGTGTGTGGGCCCGGGATAGGGTGCGGATCAGGGGAGAGAATGTGGAGGCCAGGGAAGAGGGTGTGCGGGGTCGGAAAAGAGGGTGTGTGGGGCCAGAGAGAGTTTGGTCCAGGGGAAAGAAATGTAGGGAGCAGGGAGATGGTGTGCCAGCTGTGGAAGAGGGTGTACAGGGCCGGGGGGAGGGAGTGTAGGCCCAGAGTGAGGGGAGAGAATGGGCACTGAGGAGGGAGGGGACACAGGTAGATCTGTAAGTGCAGAGTAACTTGAGATCCTGGCTGTGTCTTCTGATGTGTCTGCGTGTCTCCTTGCAGGGCTGTGTGCTGTATCTGGATGTCTTCCTATGGTCTTGACTGCTCGTGTGTACATCAGTGTCCTTCACACACACTTCATCTAAGTCTGTCTCTCAGGCTTTCTGCCTTTCTCTACTGGCCTCCTGTGTCCAGTCTTTTGTGTGGTGTGTGTCTGCAGTGATCCCTGTTTATGTGTCTGGGTGTCTATGTGTGTTGTCTATGTGTCTGGGTGTCTGCTATGTCCTGTCTTTACCTCTGTGTCCCTGGTGGGAATGAGTGTTGGGGGTGTGTCTCTTCCTATCGCTATGTGTCTTGCCTGTGTCTCTGCGAATTGTGTGTGACTGTTGGGGTGGGTTCTGTGCAGCTGTGTCTGGATGTGCCCCCTTCTATATGTGTGTCACAGACCCTGTGTGCCTGGACAGGTGGGCCTAGCAGAGCCATGGCCTGTTGGCCTAAAAATCCCTATCAGCCTCCTTCTTGCCCTAGAGCCATGTCTGGCCCTCAAAAGGCTCTGGAAGGCAGGAAGCATGTGTGAGCCATAGGGTGTGTGGCCTCTGCCTCCCTCAGGACCTTCTTAATGGTCCTATAGGGTCTCAGTCCCCTATTTCTTTCTACCACTGAGAGATCGATTTCTCCATCCAGTGCTTTTCTGAGCACTTTGCCACAGGTACTCCCATTTACAGGACTCCCAGCAACCTTGAAGTAGGTACCATCCATAAGATGGGGAAACTGAAGCTGGGGGCTTTAAGTGAATCACCTAAGGCTACATGCAGGCATCAGTTCCAGAACCGCCCCCCCCCCCTGCAAATTAACCACTAGATGGATGGGAAATCCTTCTTTTCCCTTTCCTCCCAGCTGAGACCAGGATACAGGACTTTTCCCTAGGGAGTCTCCCAGTGAAACAATGGAAATGAAAGGAAGGAAGGAAATGCCAGAAATCTCCTAGGAGGAAGAGGAATGAGAAGCCACTGGCTCTGCAGCCACTCAGGTGACAAATGGGATTCTCCTGTCACTGGCCCATGTTCCTGGGCAGATAACTCCCAGGGCTGCATTATGACTTTTGGGGTCATTTTGCCTTCATGGGCTCCTTGCTCCATTAAAAAAATAAAAACTGATATTGTATCCTATGATTTCACTGATACACAGACAAATATAATCCAGGCCAGATTAGATTCACCTTTTTTTTAGGATTTTAAAATAAGTTGGACCATTGCCTGTGTTCCTGAAGGTGCTGACGGCCAGGCTGTGTGCCTGCAGGACAGGTGCGCAGCCCAAGGAGCCAGAGCTGACCCTGTAGCTCAGGGTGAGGGTCAGAGACCACTAGCCCAGAAGGAACATACTTTTAAAAATTAAATTCTGTTTCAGAAATTATGACAGGGAATCTGAGGTTGCTGCACTCCAGGAAGCAATTCAAAGAAATAGAAAAAATAGTTAACAACTGTCCTCCCCTTCTCATTCCCACTCGAGCCCTCTAGGCACCAACTTGGCCTCTTTCACACCCTTCATGAAGAGATGCATGCTTGCCATGGGGGTAGGGGAGTTCCACAAAGGGTTACTTACAAAACCACTAACATGGACAGACTCAGAACTAACCTGCTACCCTAGAAGCTACCTGATCTTTCACAGTATGGGGGCACCAGCATTTATTCGACCTGTTCCTTTAATAATTTTTGTTCGTTTTGTTTCCAGGCTTTTTGGTTGGTTGAATTGGGTTGTTTTCTGATTTTGCTTTTTCAGGCTCTAGGGAGGGCGCTGCAGTGACTTTTTTTTTTCCCCCTGTGCATAACCCTTTATTTACGTGGAGTTTTGTAGCTTTGGTAAGGACCTTTGCAGCTGGGTGACCGGGTTTGTGTGTTGCCAGCTCAGTCTGGTTCAATGCCTTTAGCAGTGGTGAGAAGCCTGTTCGCTCGCCCTTGCATGAGATAGAGGGCAGCGCATTGGTTCAGCCAGCTCGCCATGTGGACGTCTCCCATGAGCCAGACGTTGTCCTAGATGCCCTAGAGACAGTACAAAAAGGATCGTTTCCGTCCCTAGATGCCTGCGACTGGTGGAGGGAAGACAAACGACAAAGACTGAGGAAAGTGGTTTGGGGAGGAGGGATAAAGGAGAATGATGGCGGGGGTGAATTCAATAATGATACAGTGTAAGAACTTTTGTAAATGTCACAATATGAAAGAAAATACAATTGCAAAAAGAAAAAAAAACGGTGGTTAATGATGTGTGCCGCAAGAAGGCAGAACTCCTGGGGTTCACGGGCTGGGAGTGGGCGACTCCGAAAAGCTGGCTTTGGGCTGACCAGGGGCTGGCGGCATTTGAAGCTGGAGGTCCAGGAGGCGGGGCCGGTGGGTGGGGCTGCGCTGACCCCGGCGACCAGTAGGAGAGGCTGGTGTGGGAGGTAGGGTGATCAGAAAGCTGTGTCTGCGTGAGGGGTGGAGCTGCACGGGAGGCGGGCTGACCAGAGGCGGGACTAGCCAGTGGGCGAGGTCTGTGTGGAAGGGGGCCAGTTGAGGGGCGGAGCTAACCAAACTGCTAATGAGTGGAGCTCACCAGTGGGCGGGGCCGCACTGAAGACGGCGCTTGTGTAGGTGGGGCGGTCGAGGGGCGGAGCTAGACAGGAGGCGGGGCTCGTGTGGAAAGCGCATCCCCATTTAACTTGCAGCAGCAGCAAAGGCCCCCTTGCCTGGGTCTGCAGTGGGAACCTCTGGACAAAGGACTAATGCTGCTCGCTCGCTCTGCCTTTTATATCCCTTCCGCAGTTAAAAAAAATCACAACTTTTTGATTGTGGCAGTTGGAGCCATTTGACCTCCAAAGGCAGTTCTTTGGCTTAGTACTTCTGGCACTTTAAGAGGCATCAGAGTCCCCTGGTAAGCCTGTTTAGAAGCTCATTTCTGGGGCTCACCCAGGTGGTTTGATGCGGGGGTCTGGGCTGGAGCTTGGGAGTCTACATATATTCTGAGTATATTTTAATAAGCATCCTCAGTGATTCTGGTACTTTGGGAAGTGGCACAGTCACTAAAGGGCTACTGTGTAGGGGAAAACAGGTTTTCCCAGATGATCCTGGGGTGGGAGATTTAGGAGGCAGGTCTCAGTCCACAGCAAATGGAAACCTTGTCTGGAGAGTCAGAGGAGGACTTGGGTGGTGGCCTCTTGTCATGGAGGTATGCAAGGTAGCAGTCACCATGGAGCCAGGCAGGACTACCTCAGACTCTGAGAATTTGCCCTCACCTTGTTCTGTTTTTCCACTTTATCTTTTATTTAAATTAGTCACTGATTATTTTTCTTAAATCAACATCATTTAAAAAGACACTGAGTGATTACTGTAAATAGAAGCTGGGCCTTGCTGTAAAAGGGAGGCAAACTATTAAACAGGGACAGTAAAGCCAAGTGATTTTAACTAGACAGTGAGGTCTGTCTGAGAGTGGGGCCTGGGCCTGCTTTGCTTTTTGTTCCACGGGGAGCATATGGCAGGCTAGGGGTATTAACACAGGGTGGTGGCCACTGGCCCTTTCTCCTGAGCATATGGGGAGAACAGGAAGAGATCCAAAACTGGAAACACTGTGGAAACACTCTGGGTGACCTCATCCCACTCTAGGAAATGTAAGCAACCAATGTCAGTAATAATAACAGTAAGTATTTGCTGTATACTGGGCATAGCTCCAAGTTTCCTATGTGTATCTGTCAGTTCAGCCTTAAAGTAACATCCTGAGGTCTGGAGGACATGCCCAACAGGGCCAGGGCAGTGCTGGAGTGACTGGTAGGGCCTCAGTGCAGCACTGGTGCAAGGTGGGGTCTGGACAGGGTGCAGGAAAAGCCATGGAGTCCCCAGGAGGCTGTGGGAATGTGGGGGTGCATGGGGAGTAGAGGGCAGCATACCCTAGCAGTAGCATGTGAACTGGGGCTTTCCTGTCCCACTCCAGTCAGCTCTGGAATCTGGGGGTGAGTGACTTAGCTCTTTTGGCCTCATTTTCCCCATCTGAGAAATGGAGTGAGTAGAAGTACCCAACTTCTAAGGCAGGGTCCTAAAATGTTGCGGTTGATACACATGTGTATCGGTTTGCATTTCTGGCCAGCCCTGGTCTCTCACATATTTCCCTTTTCTCCCACTCCACAGCCCTTTGGCACCTCAGGCCTATCCTGTACCTAGGCCACTGTGAGCAGTTGGAGGGATGGCTGCTCAGCTGCTGACTGTAGAGTATCCGGTGAGTCCTGACACCCTCTCACCCTCCTTTCCAGAGACTCAAGCCTGGAGGACTGGGCTCTGACCTCTGATGAGCTTCTGCCCACCCATGCCACTGCAGGGCCTGTGTTCCCAGCTGGTCTCCTGGGGGCTTTGTCCACTCCGGTGAGGAGGATGGTGCTCATGGGAACCTGCACCTCTGTTCTGCATGCTTCAGCGCTGATAGCCCCTCATCTGTGTCTGATACAGACTACAGGGTCAGCTATGGGGGACAGTGTGGCTCAAAAGTGGCTAAGCCTGCCCTTGTGGCTCTCAGGTGGGCACTTACAAGCGAAGGCTTAACCGTGTTACCTTGAGCAAAAAATGACCCATGCAGGGTCATGCTGCTCATATGGCTTGTAGAAATGGGCAAGCAGTGTTGACTGTCTCTCAGAGTGCTCCCCCTCCCCATGCTGTGAAAGGACAGAACAGGAGCAGGCCTGCCACATCTAAGAAGAGGCTGCTACCAGTGACATCTGGGAGGACTGGGTTAGGGGAGGGACACGGCACCTGCAGTTCTGGCCCAGATGCTTGTCTTTAACTGGGTGGGGTGTATGTGTATGTGGCTATTGAACTGTAAGTACAACAGCATAATTCACTGATAGACTCTTCCCAGCAATAACCATGTGGGCATATGAGTATTTCCTTATCTTCTTTCTTCTTTAAAGGTTGGCTAAGTATTGGCTCTACTGTTTTAATCTTCCTTCCAACAATCTTTACTTCCCCCATAGCTAGGATTACAGGCCTGTGCCCAGGATGTTTTTTTGATTTATTTTTTTGGGGAGAGGGGGTTGGTAGGACTGGAGTTTGAACTTAGGGATTCATACTTGCAAAGCAGGCACTCTACCACTTGAGCCACACCTCCATCCATTTTGCTGTGGTTATTTTGGAGATGGAAGGATCTCCGAAACTGTTTGCCCAGGCTGGACTTGAACTGTGATCCTTCCAAACTCAGCCTTCCAAGTAGCTAGGACTACAAGCATGAGCCACCGGCCCCTGGCTTCCAGCTTGTTTTGTTTTGTTTCATTTTTCTACTTGTTTTGCATAAATTTATTGAAAAATTTAAGGCATGACTTTTTATATGTTGTAACTATTATGTTAATGCTGTTTTAGAAGCCAATGTAAACATTTACAGCCAAGATTTTAAAAGGTACTTGACATCTAGATTTATAAGGTGTTTGAGGCCAGAATAAACATTACCTACTTGTTTGTATTTTGAAATGGGTCTCACTAACTTTGCCTAGGCTGGCTTCAAACCACCATCCTCCATCTCATACATAGTTTTTAAATTTTTCGGTTCACAAGCATTTCATATTTAAAACAAAACCTGTTGTTCTTTCCTGTTGTACCTGCCCCTGTGTTTAACCTGTGAGAGGGTTCCTCCACCTCAGGCCAATAGCACCTCTGTTGCCCCCTTTTCTATTTATCTTTCAAATGTTAACAATGAACCTTCTAGTCCATTTGCAGTTAATTTCTCTGGACAGACATGTTCTTTGACCTCTCTGTGATTTCTGTCTTGTGTCTTCATTTATTTAATTCCTTTGTTGACATTTGTTGAGGTGTACTTCACACACCACAGAGTGCACAATTAATGGAGTTTCAGTGTATTCCCACTCACGTGACCAGGACCATAATCAACTTCACGTCATTTTTATCACCTCCTGGAAGGACAGTGCCCATTAACCTTCACTCCCATTTTCAACCTCCAGCTACTGTAATCACAGGTTTACTTTGTCTTTCTAGACTGGCTTATTTTGAACATTGTATATGAATGAAATCACACAAATGTTACCTTTGTGACTGCCTTCTTTCACTTAGAATATTTACAAGGTTTGTCCATGTGGTACCTTCTGTAGAACAACATCCCTTTTTGTGGCTGCATAATATTCTTTTGTTTTTCTATACCACATTTGGTTCATCTGTCCAACTTGGGTTGTTTCCACTTTGGGGTTAGTATGAATAATGCTGTCATGAACATTCATGTACAAATTTCTGTTTGAACATGTGTTCTCAGTTCTCTTGGGTATATGTCTAGGACTAGAATTGCTAGTTCATCTAACTCTGCTTAACCTTTCATGGAACTGCCATAATCCCTTCCAAAATGGCTACACCATGTCTCCATTTTTAACACATCTGTGATTCTTGTCTTGATGTCTTCCTTTACCTACATTATTTAGAAGGTTGATCTCATTTCGATATAGTTGGGATTTGGGGTTTAAACTTGGATTTTTAAAAATCACTTATAGTTTGGTTACATTCTGATTTTTCTCCTGTGTGGGACAGTTTACACCATCAAAACCACAGGGGAGGAAGCTCTGGAATGAGCACCCTTAGCCATGTAGGTCAGAGGTCTTAAGACACAGATGACTGTGTTCTGTTTCTCAGTGTAGCTCTGGACTAGCCTGGGCATTGTGTATGGCATCTGCTCAGTGAATAGTTATTGTAAAAGCAATTGAGGGAAGATATTTAGAAGGGATTAGTCTATTAAAACAATTTCTGATAAGTAAATAAACGGGGCAGAAGGAAACTTTTGGAGGCGATGGGTGTTGTCTTGGCTTTGACTGTGGTGATATTGCACAGTTTGCACATACTGCCAGACTCACTGAGTTGTGTTTGTGAACGAGTCGAGTTTTCTGTATGTCAGTCCTGCCTAATTAAGCAGTTCAAATAAAAAGAAAAGAAGGAATTATTAGCTGAACTGGCTAAAGGGTGTACTGGACCAAATAATCAAATATGTCATGTCATAAGTGTTGATAATACATATGTATGATGTATATTGAATATTGAAATTAATCAAACAATGGTGGTAGTTGACTTTATCAAGAACTTTCTCCATCCATAACAGATGGGGCTGTGTTGGTGCTCTACATGAATTACTTCATTCAACCCACATGACAGCCATGGAGGGAGGTTGACATTGTGAAGCCCATTTCATAGATGGCACTTAGAGAGGGAAAGACAGTTGTCCAATGAAACACAGCCAGGATGGGCAGGGCCAGGGCTCCCCCAGTCAGGCATGGCCCTGGTACCCGGTGTGGACGCTCGAGGCCATGCAGGGGTGGGCCTGCAGGGCAAGATCTCCCTTTAGGAAGAGTGAACTGTGGTCCTGTGTCAGGGGTTAGGTAGGGTCAGGGTGCTGGAGAACCAGAGACCTGTGGATGCCAGTAGCAATTACTGGCAGTTATTGAATGCCTGCTGTTTGCTATGCACTGTGGTTCCCAATGTCTTATATGGATTAGCTTATATCATCCTCATCATACCAACCCTACTTGTCGATCCATTTGTCACTGTATATGCCAGCCATCATTCTAAACACCAGGGAGATGCCAGGGAGCAAGGCGGATGCATAGTCTGTGTGGGCAGCTTACACCACAGAAATGTATTTTCTGTCTGGGGGCCTGAGGTCCAGGTGTGGGCAGGGCTGGCTTCTCTATGAGTGGCAGTAGGCCGTCTTCTCCCTGGGTTTCACATGGCCACCATATTCTTGTGTCTGTGTCCTTATCTCCTCTTAAAAGGATACCAGCTGTATTGGATGAGGGCCTCCCTAACAACTCTATTTTACCTCAATTACCTCTACAATGGCCCTGTTTCCAAGCCAGCCACATTCTCAGGTACTGGGGGTTAGGATTCCAACATGGTACTTTGGGGGTCACAGTTCAGCTCCTCGCAGTGGATAAGATCATTGTCCTCCTGGAGCTGATATCCCAGAAGAGGACAGATGGTAAGCACCTGTGAAGTAGCATGTTCTTCCTGGAGACACAAGCTACAGAGGGAAAGTGGGTGGGGTTGTGGGTTCCAGTTTGGGGGTGTTGCTGTTCACAGAAGTTACTCCTGAGGGAAGCTGGCATCTTGAGTAATGCCCAGGGATGAGGGGATTCATAGATTGGGCCCTGAGGCAGGAGTGACTGGGAGTGTTCAGAGCCCAGCAAGCATGGGGTGCCGTTGAGTGTGGGGGAGCCTGGCCTAAAGTGCACAGAGGGTCTGTATGTAGTACAGTGGGTTTTTGGCCAATTCTTCCCTATGAGCAGGATGAATGCTTGTGGGTTCTGAGTAATGGAGAGACACTATCTAATGTGAGTAGTGTGACTGGGGTGTACCACACTATCCCCCGTGTTACAGGTAGGCAAATGGAGATACCATTTGAGACAAAGGTCTTACAGCTACTAGGTGGCCAAGCCATCAGACCCAGGACATTTGGTGCCGGTGCTCACCTGTTGAGCCCTTTGGCCATCCTGCCTCTCATGAAGCTAGTGCGGGCATCTTGCTCTCTCTTTTTCTGCTTCCTGGCTGCCGTGATGTTAGCTGCTTTGTCTGCCCTCCCTGCCATGATGGAGTGGAGCCTCCAAAAACGTGAGCCACAACAAATTTTCCTTCTTTGAGCTGTGTGTCTCAGGTATTTGTCACAGAGACCAAAGTCTGACTAACACACACCTACATCTGCAGAGGGGAGTTAGGACCAGGCCTCCTTCACAACCCAAGAGCAGTGGAGAGGCGAGAGTGTGAGAACCCCACATTTAGATTCCTGAGGGCAGATGGTCTGAGCAGGCAGCATTTCTGGGTCTTCCCCTCATGCCTGACTGTATCCTCGGGCCTATTCATTTGTCCTACAAACACTTATTAAAGACCTACTGTGTGCTGGCACTCTTCTAGGGCCTGAAGATCCAGCAGTGGACCAGGAAGCCATCATGGTCTTACAGCCTCCCCACGAAGGAGCTGCTGTTACTGTCCCCACCTCACAGAGGAGGAAATAAGCTTGGCCTTGTCACATAAGTAAATGGCAAATGGCCATGTGGGGTGGGATGGTCCCACACACAAACTGTCAATCAGGACACTGCCCTGACTTTCATTACTATATATACATGGCTTGCCTGTATTGGCTTTTTCTTCCTGAATAACCGATCATTCCCAAGCCCAGCCCTTGAAGCTTCAGGTGTCTGTCTTCTCATGTAGCTGCCTTGGGCAGCGGCCTGGCTGAATAGTTGTAGCTCAGTGTCTTGGTGAGGTGCTGCATCTCAAAAATCATTTCCAAGATGGCTCAGGTGTGGGAATGTTGACAGGAAGCCGAAGTTGCTGGTCAGACGGGCTGATCTGTGCGACTGTTCAGGGTAGCAGCTGGCTTCCCCTAGAGTCAGTGATGAGAGAAAGACAGAGAGTGGAGGGAAGGAAAGGAGGGAGAGAGAAGAAGGAAGGGAGAGAGGGAGGGCAGGAGACAGAAACAGGGAAGAAGGGAGAGACAAACACAAGTGGAAGGAGGAAGGTAGGGGGAGAAAAAAGGAAGAAAGGAAAGAGAGGGAGAGAGACCTTCTTCAAGACCAAAGCTGAGATCTTTATAAGCATATCTTTTCTTTTGCAGGTGGCGGGGGTGCGGTATTGGGGTTTGAACTTAGTGCCTCATACTTGCTTGGCAGTTCCTCTACCACTTGAACCATATATCTGGCTCTTTCTAGTTATTTTTCATATAGGGTTTCACATTTTTGCCCAATTTGGCCTCAGACCATGATCCTCCCAATCTCTGCCTCCCAAATAGCTGAGATTACAGGTGGGAGCCACCATGCCTGGCTGCAACCATATCTTTTTTATTGTGCACACTACATATAGCATAAAACTTATTGCCTTAACCATTTTCAAGTGCATGGCTGAGTGACATTAGCTCCATTCACACTGTTGTACACCCATCTATCTTCAGAACTCTTTATCTAGCAAAATTGAAATTGCACCTGCTAAACATTAACTTCCCATCCTTCCTCCTCCCAGGCCTTGAGGCCCTCATATGATAGAATCATGCAGTATTTGCCTGGTGAAACTGGCACATTTCACTTAGCACAGTGTCCACGAGGCTCATACCAGTTGTAGAATATGTTAGAATTTCCTTTCTTTGTTTCTTTCTCTTTTTGGCAGTACTGGGGTTTGAACTCAGGGCCTCGCACTTGCCAGGCAGGTGCTCTACCACTTGAGCCACATGCCCAGCATTTATGCCTGGGCTAGCTGGGACCACAGTCCTCCTATTTGTGCTTCTGGTGTAGCTGGGATGACAAGTATAAGCACCGCCATCCCCAGATTTTTATTGGTTGACATGGTGTCTTGGGAATTTTTTGCCCAGGCTGGCCTAGACCATAATCCTCCTAACTCTACCTCCCAAATAGCTAGAATTTCCTTCCTTTTTAAAGGCTGAATAGCATTCCACTGTATGGATGGACCACATTTTGCTCATGCATTCACCCATCCATGGACACTTGAGTGGCCTCCATCTTAATGTGAACCTGGTCATGCAAACACAGAGTCTACTTTTTTAACATCATATGTCAGGTCCTACTGCTGTCAGTAGAAGAAAGAGCATTCCACAGAGAGTTAGAAGCAAATGGAAAGGCCCTGGGTCAAATCAATGAGAATATAGGCCAGCATGTAGTCAGGAAACTAGGAGAGGAGAAGGTGGGGACAGAAGTGGGGGTTCAAGAGGTCAGAACCAAGACTCTGTGTTTGGACACTCCTAGTTTTCCTACCTGCGCTCTGGTTCACGAGAGGGAGGCTCTCAATAGCTGCTGGGTTCAAGCCTGGTCGTCCCTCTCATTAGGTGTGTGACAGGCGTTCTCTGTGCTCTGCTCCTTTATCTGCACCTTCAGCCTCCCTGTAGCGGCTCCTGTTTGGGGGCTTGGTAGAACCATCTGGAAGGCTGACTTTATCAGTACCTGCTACAGATCAGTGCCGAGTCAGTAAATGAGTTAGGATGTGTGAAACATACATTGGCTTCCTGGGGCTGCTGTAAGTAATTATGGCAGACTGGGGGCTTAAACAGTGGAAAAAGATTCCTTAAGTTGTGGCTGGGAGCCTGGGAGCAGCAAGGCTTCTCTGGCGGTGCTGTCAATGGTCTGCTCCAGCCTCTCCCCAGGCTGCTGGTGTTTCCTAGGTTTGTACAGTGAGGTTCTGTCTGCACCCAGGTTCTCCCTGTGTGTCCGCTCCCAATGGATGCCATCTTATAAGAACCCTATTGGATGCCTTCATTTTAATTCCACCCACAGCAACCCTGCTTCCAAATGAAGTCATGTTGCTGAGGTCCTGGACTAGGAATTCACCTTGTGAATCCTTAGGAGTGGGACACATCATAATCTACCCCCTTATACAGCACCTGGCACCTAGAACTGTGTAATGAGCAAGGGTGTTACCATGATTGACCCCTCCTGCCTGCCATATTCATTTAGTCCACCTGTTTGTGAGGCTCAGTCTCCCCCTCCAGGACTCTTGCCAATACCTGGCAGTCTGATCAACCTTTGACATCTCAGATCTTGATGCAGGGTCTCCCTTCCAGTGAGTCTCCCTCCAAGGCCCTGATTGCTAATTCCCTCTGCAGATGGCATCCAGGTCACCTTTTCCCAGTCTTCCCTGTCTGTACTCAGTGCCTTAAGGACGTTGTTCTGACCTTCATGACTGCAGTGGCCAAGTGCTGTGTGTTTTAATCTGCCTCTGTCACAAGGAGACAGTTCTGGAACCTTCTGCATTGTATCCCAGCAGTGCTCAGTGGCTGGCACTTTGTAGGCACTCTGTAGAGTTCTTTGAGTTCCCAGATTCCCCCAGGAACCGGCCCCTGCTGTACTCCTGATATTGATGGGCTCATTTTCCTTTTGGTTCCTTTCTGTCCGGCTCTCAAATCTGCTACTGTGTTCCAAACTGTTCCATTTGCTTCTTTCTCTGTCAGAGCCCAATACAATTACGCACTGAGAGAGCTGCGAGTGATCCCATCAAAATCCTGCACCCTGTTGACATCACTGCAGATCCTTAAGTCCTCCCGGCTTCCAGACCTGTGTAAGGAGGGCCCCACGGTGAACAGATGTGGGTTTCCTCTTACAGAAATCAGTGACGTTCAGGGACGTGACTGTGGACTTCACCCAGGAGGAGTGGCAGTGGCTGGAGCCAGCCCAGAAGGACCTGTACAGGGACGTCATGCTGGAGAACTACAGGAACCTGGTCTTGCTGGGTAAGGGGGGTGGCTTCATTGAGTCACTGTTAGCCTATGGCTTCAGGACCACAAAGAAATAAGAAAGAAGGTTGACAGATTTGACTGTGCAGAACAAAATTAAAATTACTCTACTTGAAGCTAAAAATAAAGTTAATAGATGGCATGGGGAGTGATTTTCTTCATGTGTATGATCAAAGTGTCATAGAGTTCCCAGGAATGAATAAGAAAGAGACTAAGTGAATGATTAAAAAAAACCAAAACCCCATTCACAGATGAGCTTGCAATTCATAGATGTAGAAATACACAAGATTATACTTTGAAGTTTCTTTTTTAACCTAGCTAATAGAGATATACAAATTGAGATATTGTCCTTTTGCCTTTGAGGTACACAAAGATTAACAAGAATTACAGCCTGCATATCAGGTGGATGGAAAGAGACTCTCTCATTTTAAAGTTGGACAACTCTTTTGAAGACTAGCTTGTCAATGTGAGTCAAATTTTTAAGAATTGCATATTTAGGGGTCTGTCATTTAGGAATTCTCCCATAAGTGGGCAAAGTTTTGTATGAGAGGAAAAGTAAAGGAGATTGCCACACACCCAGCCACACTCAACTGACTGAACACCCAGGTTTGCAGCTCTGCAGAGCTCAGTGAGGACTCTTCAGGCATCGCCATGGAAGATGTCTGGAGATACTCGACCAGGTGGAAACACTCGAGCAGGGACCTGGTGCTTTAATGGCTTCCTTGGAGGTGTGATTGACTGACAATTAATGGCACATAAGGTGATATTAGCTCCATTTTGACAGGTGATGAAGACAGCGAACACATCTGTCACCCAGAAAGTCCCCTGCTCTCCCATCCCCATGCATGCACTTGTCAGCTTTGGGTCTCAAACTCCACTCCGCAGTTCTCAATTTTTATAGTCTTGTAACACTGCACCATGTCCTCTGACTTCTTTGACTCAGTGCGTGATTTGAGCATCACCCATGTTGCTACCTTTTTCTCTTTATGACTGCATATTACTCCACTGCATAGTCTCCACAGTCTGTTTACCCATTTACCTGCTGACCAGCATTTGGGCTACTTTCGGTTCTGAGGTATTCAAAACAAGGCTTCCATGAGTGTGTGAGTACAGATCCTGGGTAGATATGGTCTCCTTCTTCTTGCATGAACACATAGGGGTGGAAAGTGAGCATCACATTGTCTGTGTAGAATCTGCCAACTCTAGTCTGAAGCTGGAACCACTTGACGTTCCCACCAGCAGTGCCTACGAGGAGAGGCCCACCTGCTCCACCCGTTTCATTTGAGCCTTGTAGGTTAGGTATGTGGCTTTTGTTGGATATCGACTGTCTTGTCCTGTGTGTATTTGCCTTTCGTTATATCACCTTTGGTAAATTTTCCATTTGGGTCTTTTGCCTATTTTTTTTAAATTAAAGTTGGATTATCATCGAGTTTTGAGTTATATTCTAGATACAAGTCTTTTCTTAGATATGCTATGCAAGTATTTCTTTTCTGTGGATTGTGTTTTTGCTTTTCTTGACAGTGTCATGAGAAGCAGAAGTCTTTAATTTTGACTCAGTCCAGTTTGTATGGTTTTAATCGTCATTAATTTCATACCTGGGAAGCTGCTGCCTAACCCAAAGCCGCACAGAAGGTTGACTCTTTCTTCTAAGAGCTATTTTATTACAGTTTTCATTAGGACTTTGGTCCACTTCAGTTAATTTTTGTAAGTGATGTAAGAAAGGACTTTGTGGGTGTCCAGGTGCCCAGTGCCATTTGCTGAAGAGCTGCTGTTTTAAATTGGATGAGCTGCAGTTTATCAGTTGTTCCCTTTTCTGGACAGCACTTTTGATGCCAGAGCTAAGAAAACTTTGCATATTCCAAAATCACAAGGGTTTTCTTCTGAAAGTTGTATAATGTTAGGTTTTACATTTTGTTCTCTGAGCCACTGAGAGTCAGTTTTTATAGATGATTAAAAACATCAATCCAAGTTCATTTTTTGGCAAATATGTTCATTTTTTCAAAAGTGTTCTTTCTCATCTGAATTGCCTTGTGCCTTTGTTAAATATTAATTTTCTGTGTGGAGGTGTCTAATTCTGGACTCTTCTGTCCCACGGGCCTGGGTGCCCTGACCCAGTGCAAAGTAGCCTGGTCCTTTCCATCTTGCTTTTATGACTTGAGCTCAGACTGGAACCACTTACTTTCCACAGGACCCTTGGATTATAGGGTTTTCTGTCTGACTGATGGGAAAGGCCCTAGGTCAACTCTAGACACAGTTAAATCCTTCCAGATGGTTTACCCCCAGTGCTGGATCATTTCCTGATATTGTGCAGCAGTCTGCACAATTGCTGTGCTGCTGTTTTGCAAATGGTTGATGGAGGGTCCTGATGCAGGACACTCCATCAACACCAGTGGCGTGGGGGGGGGTGAGGGGGGCAGCCTGCCAGTCTCCTCTCCAGTGCTCCATTCTGTAAACTCAGCTTCATCTCCTATACCCAGAAAGGCTGCCAGGTCATGCATCAGTTTCCCCTGCCTGTGTCACAGCCTGGAACATTCCAGGCAGTGAGCTAAGGGAATGCATGCTACCCTACTTGATTCTCATCTCTTAGAAATTGCTGCCTTTCACTCCAGATGTCCAGTGCCTTAAAAAGTATTTTTTAAAAATTTTTCCTTTTTAGGCTGTTTTAGGGCTGGAGGGAACCTTGTCCTTGTTTCTCTATCTTGGACAAAGTGTGTGTTCATGTATGTGTACTGTGCAGATGTGTTGTGCATATGTTTAAGGGTGTGGAGGGGAGAAATCCTAAAAGGCTGTGGAGGGGGGAAATCCTAAAAGTATAACCCAAAGTGTTAACTCTGATGAGTGAGATTCCAGGATACACCATTTTCCACATTTACATTTTTGGTGTTTAATAATAAGTGCAAACTATTTTGAAATCAGAAGCAATCGTAGAAGCACATAAGGAGACAAGGAAACCCTGAAGGTCAGATGGGAGCTCTAGCATGATGAGAACAAGGTGCACCCACATTGGCTCCAGAGGCAGGGGTTGCTCTGTGCTCCGGCTATCTTCCTGCAAGACGCCCCTGCAGAAGTGGGTCTTGAACTTTTCTTCAGCAGTGAGTGGGGGACTGCCAGCCATGCATGTATGCTGTTGGGCTTATGCTGTTTTGACTCTGGTGAGAAATGCTGTGGTGCAGCAGACTTTTCTGGCTAACACCGAGCTGGGTTTTCACAGCTAGGAGTTGGGTGTCTGCTGCTTTGCAAATGAGCTCTACTGAAAGCGTTTTTTTTTTTTTTATTGTTTGATTAATTGTACAAAATAATGGGCTTCAATATGATATTTTCATACTTGCATACTATGTGCTTTTGTCATACTCACCCGCCCATCCCCTGTATTGTCCCCCTCTCCTCTCACTGGTCTCTCTCCCCTCAAGTAATCTCCCCTTCTGCTTTTGTAGCTTATTTTAATTCTAGATTCCACATATGTGAGAAAACATATATTTGTCTTTCTAGGTCTGGCTTATTTCATTTAACATGATAATCTCCAGTTTCATCCATTTTCCTGCAAATGGCACGAAACTCTTCTTTATGGCTGAATACTACTCCACACTATGTATGTAAACCACATTTTCTTTATCCACTCAGCAGATGGTGGGCACCTGGGCTGATGCCACAGCCTGGCCTTGTGAATGGTGCTGTTATAAGTAGGGCGTGCAGGCATCTCTACTGTGTGCTGAGGGGTTTTAATCCACCAAGGGAGGCTGCGTCTTGTTTCCCTACTCCATGCTGGCCTCCACCTCCAGTTCTCCAGTCTTCTTAAGTTAACACTCACTCCATGGGACTCCAGCCCTCTCACACCAGCTCTCTTTGTTCCCACAGCCAGTGCTGGTCTATATCCCAGGGCATCTTGGTCTCTGTCAGCCCCCCAACCACACCCACCAGTGCCCTTCCTTCCTCTCTCCACAGAGAATCACCTACACCCACTCCTGTGTGCCCCTCCTTACACAACTTGAACCCCAGCTTTGCCTCAGTGCCATGTGCCCTGGAGTATCTGGCTTCATTCTTGGAGCATAACAGTCCACAACTACACCTAACTCATGTGGTTGTAAGGATGTGGAGAGAGAGTCCATACAAACTGCTCAGCACTGTGCTGGGCAGTGCAGATGGGAGCCTGTGCCTTCTGTGTGCCAGGCACTGTGGGAGGAGCTGGGGACAGGCTTGGTTCCTGCCTGATGGAGCTCAGTCTTCTGGGGAAGCCAGTAATCAACAAAGAACAAGCAGAGAAGGGTTGTCATGGACCACTGAGGGCTCAAGAGAATGGCAAGAGGAAAGATCCTTTCTTAGTAGGAAGAAGGGGGAGGCCTCTCAGGGAGATTGATGGAAACTGATGCCTGAAGGATGAGGATCTTTGGGAGAGAGGGGTAGCATAGTGGTGTGGGGGGGGGACAGTGGATGCTAAGGCAGGAAGAGCTTCACATGGACAGGGGATAAAAAGGGAACAGAGGGTACGAGTGGCCCATGGGAGGAAGGACGGTGGGGGTGACTTAGGAGAGGTGTCCTGGGCTCCTTCCACAAACCTTGGTGCCACCAGATCTTTATTGCCAGGGTATTCAATTTGAACAGGGAGGCGTGCGGATCTCAAGGTGGAGAGGTGAGTTTGGGGGCAGGGGAGTAGATGGGAACCTGTGGCACACTTTGGCAAAAAAATCATGGTGGCTGACTAGGTGGTTGGCAGTGGTGAAGGTGACAGAGAGATCTGGTCCTGTTCAGGCTGTTTTGTGCATCCACAGGTACTTTCTGGTAGTGGGAGTGGTGCGTGGAAAGGTAAGAAGCAAGGATGACTGCTAAGTGTCTTCAAATCTTTTTAAGTTGTAGCTGATGTGATGGCTCACATCTGTAATCCCTGCTACACAGGAGGTGTAGGTAGGAGGTCTGAGTCAGCCTGAACAAAAAGCTCAAGACTCTATCTGAAAAATAAAGCAAAAGGGGCTGAGGCGTGGCTCGAATGGTACAGTGCTTGCCTGGGAAGTGCTAGGCCCTGAGTTCAAACCCCAGTGCCATCAATTTTTTTAGAGTGTAATAAAATACACAAAATAACCATTTTGAAGTGTACAGTTCAGTGCCATTTGGGACATTCACATTGTGGGTAACTGTCACCACTGTCCACCTGGAGAGCTTTCTCATCTTCCCGAATTGACACTGTGACTGGTAAACACTAACTTGCCCTTCACCCTCCCCAGTCGTGGTGGTCCTTCTTTCTGCCCCTGTGAGTCTGACTCCCCAGGCCCGCACATCCATAGATTCATGCTGTGTTGATTCTCTCCTGTCTGACTTATTCTACTAAGTCTCTTTGATGGGCCTTCCTTACTTCTTTTTAAGTTTTTGGTGGGAAGGCTCGGACTCACATGAGAGAGATGTGTGAACACTCTGTTTTGGAGACCATGTTGGGTACTGGGATGTGGGAGGTTGGGGAACAGCCAGGAGGCACCAGAGAGCAGCAAGGATGGAAAGCCCAGGAGAGAGGAGGGGATCTTGTATCCAGCCCCCCTGAGCCTCAGGAAGCTGTCAGCATTCCTCTCTGCCACCCTCCTCTCCTGCTGGTTCCTGCCTTTGGCCAAACTCACTGGAAGCCAGTGAACAAGTGGGCCTCCTGCAGCCAGGACTGAACAAGAGGTGGGGTGGGGAGCCTAGTCCCCAGCACACAAACAACATAATGGCTTAGCTGCTATTTGTTACTTCAAATAGGACCCTGCTTGTTGGGTATTCAGGATGACAAGAAGAGGAAAGACCGGCAGGCCAGGACTTCCTGCAGGAAACCTAGCTCTCCTCCCTCCTGCCTTCCAAGATGCTGCTGCCCTTTCTCCCTCTCCAAAGGGACAGTTCTTGTTCCCTTTTAGTCCTTCCGTCAGTGCGCCTCCAGAAGCTGACTTGGCTTCTCCATCCCTCTCTCATCCGAGGGTGTTCTTTGCTGGTGCATGGGCGTCTTGCAGCATTTTGGATCTCATTTTTCCAGGCCCACGTGAGGACCTTGTCTCATGGAGCATGTCGGATCTGTGTTATCCATTGCCTTGGGTGACCAGTATTTCACACAGCATCTCGAACCTGGGTTTCCCAGTCCCACTGCGGGTCTTTCTCACGCCCAGCTTTTGTTTGTTTTGTTTTTCCAGACTGGGAGACTAGACCTGAAATGAAGGAGTTGGATATGAAGCATCACATTCCGGAGGACAAACCACCGTTGCAGGCGGCCTTGGCAGGGCCCGCTAGGACTTGCGCCTGGGGAGAAGCACGGACACCAGACGGCTGGGTAGATGGGTGGCGGGAAGGGACGGGACCCAGCCCGGAGTTCCTGGGCTCTGGGCTGGGGGACGTCCTAGCCAAGGGGTTCGTCCCCGAGTGTTTTGAGTTGAAGGCATCTACCAACCACAGCTGCACCCAGGAGAAGGGCGCCTATCCACTGGGGATGCGCAGGAAGAACGCGGAGAAGCCAGCGCACGCGTGCGGCCAGTGCGGCAAGGTCTTCAGCCGAAGCTCATCCCTGATAAAGCACCAGAGGATCCACACTGGGGAGAAGCCTTTTGGCTGCGACGTGTGCGGGAAGCCGTTCTTGGAGCGCTCGTCCCTCACCATCCACCGGCGCGTGCACACAGGCGAGAAGCCGTACGTGTGCGGGGACTGCGGCAAGGCCTTCAGCCAGCGCATGAACCTCGTGGTGCACCAGCGCACGCACACAGGCGAGCGGCCGTACACCTGCGGCGTGTGCGGCAAGGCATTCCGCAAGACCTCGTCCCTGGTGCAGCACGAGCGCGTGCACACGGGCGAGAAGCCGTACGCATGCGGGGACTGCGGCAAGGCCTTCAGCCAGAACATGCACCTCGTGGTGCACCAGCGCACGCACACGGGCGAGAAACCGTACGTGTGCCCGGTGTGCGGCCGGGCCTTCAGCCAGAACATGCACCTGACCGAGCACCACCGCACGCACACGGGCGAGAAGCCGTACGCGTGCAAGGAGTGCGGCAAGGCCTTCAACAAAAGCTCATCGCTTACCCTGCATCAGCGGAACCACACGGGCGAGAAGCCATACGCGTGCAACGAGTGCGGCAAGGCCTTCAGCCAGAGCTCCTACCTCATCCAGCACCAGCGCTTCCACATCGGTGTGAAGCCCTTTGAGTGCGGCGAGTGCGGCAAGGCCTTCAGTAAGAACTCGGCCCTAGCGCAGCACCAGCGCATCCACACCGGTGAGAAGCCCTACGAGTGCTACGTGTGCAAGAAGCACTTCACTGGGCGCTCGTCGCTCGTGGTGCACCAGATCGTGCACACGGGCGAGCGGCCTTACCGGTGCGGCGAGTGCGGCAAGGCCTTCAGCCAGAGCGCGTACCTCATCGAGCACCAGCGCATCCACACTGGCGAGAAGCCGTACCGCTGCGCGCAGTGTGGCAAGGCCTTCATCAAAAACTCCTCGCTCACCGTGCACCGGCGCATCCACACCGGCGAGAAGCCCTACCGCTGCGCCGAGTGCGGGAAGACCTTCAGCCGCAACACCAACCTCACGCGCCACCTGCGGATTCACACTTGAGCCATCCGCGGCACCTGGCAGGTCTGCAGGGCCAGGTGTGTGTGTAGGGGGTGCTGCCTCCGGGTGGCCGGTGTGGACTGTCCTCCCGCTGGAGGTCTGGTGACTCGGGATGGAGAGGCTGGGAACGTAGGAACCTGGAAAGGCATTTCCATCAGTGCGCTTCCTTAAACAGCGCCAGAAGGCGAGCCCCTGACGTTTGGCTTGTTGGGTATATTTTAAGGTCCGTGTAGCTGAGCCAGGATCCATGGAGGCTCCAAGGAGAGATGTAGTTCTTCAGGGGTCTGGTCTGCTCCCTGGAGCTCGCAGGATTACTCCTGCAGCAGCCTAGGGCAGGTGGAGGGGAGGCTGAACACTGGGACATCCCTTACTCCATCATATGCACAGAGCTCAGATGTGGTTTGCCCCATCTGAGTTTCCTCCGGGGATTAAGATTGAGGGTCAATGTTGGCTGGTTGGCGCCCAGCTTCCCCACACCCTAGCCCTCCTGGTCTCCTACACTGTGTGCTGGAGTCATCAAATCACTCAGTGAAGTTTGCAAGTTGTTTGCTAGGGAAATTTTTTTTCAGTTAGCAAATAACAAAATCAGCTTTGAATGCCAAAGTTTCTTAAAGCAGTCTTAGAACTTTTAACCAACAGGCCATTTTGAACGGTCTTTTTGACCGTTCAAGACTGAGAGTGGGAGACTCAGAACACAACTGCCAGGTGTGTTTCGGGTTCCAATCTTTATGGGCTCCAGGATCCACACCCTAGCACAGACTGTTCTATAGTTATGATGCAGTTAAACAGTAACAGTAACTGTCCTGGTCCATTCCTGTTGCTGTAACAAAGTACCTTAGACCAGGTAACTTACAAACCATAGAAATGTACTGCTTATAGCAGATCTAGAGTCCTGAAAGGCCAAGGTGCAGGTGGGTCTGTTCTCTGTTGAGGACCTGTTCCTCATAGTGCCTCCTACCTGTGTCCTCACCTGGTGGAAGAAGACAAGGAAGCTCCCTCCACTTCTTTCAGAAGGTCACTAAACCAGTCACAGGAGCTCTGCTCCATCTCTGCCAACTGTTCCTTTGGGGGGTTAAGTTTCCAACGTGTGATTTGAGGGGTACACAGGTGTTCAGAGCAACTGTATCATATCTTCAAATGAGTTTCCCAGGCTGACTTGAAGTGTTTTTTACACATGGATCTCCCCCTTCCCTCCCACCTTGGGTTTTTTGTTTTGTTTTGTTTTGTTTTTAAACTGCTCTTAATGTTGACATATAATACTACTGTTTGCTAATGTCCTGACATTTCTAAATGCTCCTCTGCACTCCTTAGCACTGGTGTGTGTGTGTGTGTGTGTGTGTGTGTGTGTGTGTAGAATAAATGATTCATTTTAAAAATTATATCAGCAGGAACACTTTGTGCTCAAGTGGGAATGGGTTTGCTGCAGGCACAGCACTGGAGCCACAACTCTGGTTTTCTGGAAGTCTCTGGCTGTCCCTTTTGTGTTGGCCTCATGTTCAGACTGACTTCCCTTGTGGGCACTTAATTGGCAGTGGTTCCTCAGGACTGTACATGTTCTCATTCACATCCAAATGGAGAGAGAAGACCTCCTCCAGTCATTGGGGGAATAAAACCCCCAAAATTCATTCTTTTGGAATCACCATGCCTGATGCTGTGACCAGAGGGATGGCACCGGCTGGATGGCTTAGATCTGGGTCCTGTCCTCATTCCCAAAATGATACCTGTGGCCAGAGGGATGGGATAGATGTCCCAGGTGGCCTGAAACCAGTGTGTGCCCTTGATGTGGGTGCAGGGTCAGTGCACACAGATTACAGTGGGGGAGATGTAGGGCAATGTGGAGAAAGCACCCCATATCCACCACATCTGCCCAGTGGGCTAAGAACTGAGGGCTGGCCCCTCTTGCCTTGAGAGACCATCTGTCTGTCTGTACTCTGCTGCCCCTCTAGCCAGGAGGTAAGGCAGGGGAGCTAGGGCATCTGGTGGTCACTGCCAGGTTAGAGAAGGGTTTGGCTACCCGATTGGGCCCAGCAGTGGCCACAGTAGCCAGGAACTCCAGTCTCCCTTCAGCTTCTGCTGCATGGCTAGCACTCTGTTACACTCCACTTCTGTACCTGCCACAGAACACGTAAGTTCCCTAAGTCATGTAAGTCACCTGTAGTGGGGGAGGTTGGGAAAGAATGGAGATTATAAACAGGTCATAATTGGAGTTCCCAGTGACACATTTGGAAAACATCATGACAACCATGCAGGCGAGAAGGGTGCTGGATGGAAGGTGAGTGAGAGGAAGGACTTAGCACAGCTCTGTAGCCTGGGCACATTGTATTTAACTCCTCTGTGCTTTGGATTCTTCTTCTCAAAAACAAGAAAATAGTGACACTCCCCAGGTTTGATTGATGGGTGAGTCAGGGGAAGATGACACTAATGACAGGTGAACCTAACAACGCAGAGGCTTAAAGAACAAAATTCACTCTCTCCCTCCCCTGCCATCCCCTCTCCTCCCCTTCCCTCCCCTGTCTTTCCCTCCTCTGTTCTCTTCCTTATCCTCCCTCTTCCATCCCTCCCTCCTTCCTCCTCTTCCTGTTTCTCTCTCCCTCCTCCCCCTCTATCTCTATCTTCTTTTTCTCTCATTCTTTCTCTTTCCTTCTCACACACCCCACCCCAGATGAACAGCAGAAGCTCTGCTGTCAGCTCTGCTGTCTGCTGCCCATGGGGGCACTCAGGACACAGGTTCTCATCCTGCTGCTTGATGGTCCCTAGAAGCCTCAGTGTATGGGCTCTACATGGAGCTGTATGTGCAAGGTACATATAGGGTCCAGCACGCAAGAAAGAGGAGAGAGTTTGAGGAGGTGAGTCCAGAGTCTCAGGACCAGGGCAGAGATGGTTCACATTTCTTCTGCTTATGAAACTGGACACAATAGATTTGTATCTTGATGAATGCAAAACCAAAACAAGCATGGCCAAGAAAGAAAAGAGAGGAGAAAGATTTATTCCCTGCAGCAGATAAGGAGAGCATGGGTGTTAACTTCCAAAGAAGTGCCCTCCTCAAACAAATAAAGGGTGGGGATTTTATTCAGGGAGACTCCACTTACTCATATAGGAAAACACTTTCAGGGCTGGAGTGCCTCTGAGCATGCTCAGTTTACAATCATAGTTCATGAAGGAAAGATGGAAAACACATTTTTAGGTATTAGCTAACAGGGCTGAGAAGGAAAGGCAAAGGAGGGAGAGGAGGAGGCTGGACAAGGGGAGGAGGAGAGGATTGAAAGGAGGAAGGGGGGATAGGGTTTGGAAAAGAAGTGTGGGAGAATGCCGGGTGCTAGTGGCTCATGCATGTAATCCCGGCTACTCAGGAGGCAGAGATCAGGAGGATCAGAGTTCAAAGCCAGTCCAGGCAAATAGTTCTCTCGAGACCCTATCTCAAAAATACTCATTACAAAAAAGGGCTGGTGGAGTGGCTCAAGGTGAAGGCCTTGAGTTCAAGTCCCTGCACTGCAAAAAATATTTTTTTAAAATAATAAAAAAGCTTGGGAGATGGGATGAGAAGGGGGAGGGGTCAGGAGGAGGAGAGAGGAAGAGGGAGTGGGGTAAGGTTCAGAAGGAGGGAAGAGTGGAGAGAAGGGATAGGGATAGGACCAGGCCTGGAGGCAGGAGGGATGAGGGGAGAAGAGGTAGGACAGACAGTGAAGAGTGAGAAGGGAGTGGGGGAGTAGGAAAAGAGGAAAAAGGAGAGGGAGAGCTGGTAGAGGAGGAGGGAGGAACTCTGAGGAAAGAGGGAAGGGGGAAAGAAAAAGATGGATCAGAGGAAGAAGAGGAGAGGGAGAGGGTGAGGGAAAGAAGGAAAAGAGGGGGAAAAAAACAGAAAGAAAATGAGAATAGGGTTAGAGAGAGAACAACACTGAAAGATGAGCTCTGGAAAGATGACCGTAATGAAAGTATTTGGGAGACATTGACGTTGCCGTGTGCCCTCCCACTCACCTGGTCTTGGTTTCCTGAGCCTCTTCTTTGAACATGTTCCCTTCAGTGTTGTTCATGTAGATTGACTGAGTTAAAAAGCTCAGGATCTGCTGAGAGCAGGGGCTGAGGTCCACTACAGGAGCATGGCCAGGTGAATTTTGCAATGAACTTAACTGTTCTCTGTGTGTACACGCGTTATGCTACCTGGACTTCTGAGAACGTGACTGTGGCTCCTGTGTGACTCAGGAACTGAATTTTTACTGTATCTCATTTTAATCAATTTATGTTTTACTAGTTACCTAGGCTGCATTGCACCGAGCAGCTCTAAAGCTTTTACTATTTTTATTACAGATACTGGGCTCATCCTGCACTTTACTACAGTTTTTAATTTTACTTTAAAATCCCATAAGAACAATAGTAACAACAGCAATAGCGGCAGCTCTCACTGGTCTTTGGTAAGTATCAGGTACTCCGGGTTAACCACGGGGTCCTGGCCATGGATCTACTTGATGAGCCTCATGGTGTGATGGGAGCAAACGGGAGGGAGATAGAGGACAAAAATGACTCTGGGGATGTAAAGGAACAGATGGCAGAAGTAACTTTTGAGTTGAAGGAGACAGGAAGCATCCTTAAAAGCAGACATCTAAAGAGGCGTGGGAAACAACGGACTTCTCAGAGAAATAACAAGCCTTTCACCACAGTAACAAAATGCAGCTGCACAATGTGGGTAGCAGGAAGGTCAGCTGGATAAGAAGGATGAAGCAGTGGTCAGATTTAATAAGTTAGCTAGGCACCAACCAATTACAAACACAGTTTTAAGGTAGAATAGTTGGACCTAAGCTAGTTAACACCCTATATCTTCTCCTAGACTTCAGCTTTTCTTTGGCTTAGCTCTTTCACTAAGTCCCACCTGTCAGGGTGCTTTGCTAACCTTTCAATAAATTTTATGTTTGCTTTAACTCTTAACTCCTGATCTGGCATCTTCAATCATAGACTACACCAGGACATGAACTCAGGAACAACATTTCAGTATCCATGGCATGTACCAGTTATCACTACGAGTGTCATTTATTGAGCACATACTGCAGGCAGTGTCCACTGTGAGCTCCCAGACACAGTGTGATATTTACCTGCAACAGCAGGAGTGGAGGCTTAGTGAAATAATATCGGGAAAGACCACAGAAATGCTTTTGCAAGGTGGGGGCAGCACATGGTTGTGTTTTTGTCCCTATTTGAATCTGAACTAGACAGTCCTGGAGCTTGCAGGAGGGACAGGCAGAACAGAGTCTGCGTGCCTTGAAATAGATGCCCTCAAGCAAGTCAGATGCTTATTTATAGCTGATCACCTGTTTTAAAGAGAGGTTGATGGGGAAGAGAAGGGCAGGTGTAAACTTGACTGTTCTCACTACTAAATTTAATGTAGCACAGAAGTATTGTACAGGGGGAGGAGAAATCAGTGTCAGGAAGGAGCCTAAGCTATTTTTTGTCCTCCTCTCTTTTAGTGGTGGGGAAGAGGCTGTGACAAGAAATAGGAAACTCAGTGCCTAATATATGAATCCCTAGAATGTCTTCATGATCTGAAATGCAGGAATCTCCAGAGACAAAAAGCTTTGGGGTGAACAATGTTTCAACAAATATCTGAGTCCCTACTCTGTTCCAGACACTGTGGCAGAGACTGGGAATTCAGCACTGAGCAAGTCAAAGTCCTTTTCCTAATGGGACCCCTACTCTGAATTTTTGAGCATGGACATATAGCCAGAGTTCTAGGCCTGAAGTCCAACTCGGGAGGGTCCGTCAAGTCAGGTCCAGCATTCACCCCAATATGACAAGAGATGAGTAGTGGCGATGGGCAGAGAAGGGAAATTCACATGGCACCAGCATGGCCTGGGGAGAGGCAAAGTAAGCACTCCAACCCATCTTGGGGTACAGACATGAGCTTTAGGTTTGAATAAGGGAAGATTGGGGGAGGCTGCATAATTAAACAGCCTGGTGCAAAGTGTGACTTGGTTGATCACTGTCTCAGTCAGTCCTCCCTTAGGAGTTCTGGAGAAGATGCTGTCACTGTCATCACTTGAGGGGAACGATCTGGATCCCATGAGATGATTGCTCCTGCTCCAGCATACAGCCTCATCAATATAGGGAATTGTCTTCATTTGGGAAGTGGTCTGTCCTGCTGTTCCTTTCCTTTAGAAGAAAGACTCAGAGCAAAGGACACAGATGCAAAATAGAGGCAGGGATGCCAAAATCTCTCAGCTTTTAGTTAACTTGTGGGCCCAGGTGACTCAGTGTTTTTGTTTTGTTTTGTTTTTAGAGAAAGCACTTTCTAAGTACCTGTTATATTCACAGACCAAGATG